TTGATGACCACGTATACTTGCGTGTGTGTTTTGTCCCAACGGGCCTGATTCTATCTATTTTCGTTCCGTTTGAAGAAAGGAAGGATCCCAAAATTCCATAATCCCTTCCCGAACCAAACATATTTTTTTGGAACCGCCATTGAAAAATTAAAAAATTACTCTATTATAGCTGGATGTGAAAGCCTTCCATTTTCTATTTTTATTTGTAGAAAACTCGTGTGCTTGGGAGTAGGCATTTCGGATGTTGCTAGTGAAATAGCCCTTCTGGCTAGTTGTTAAGAGATATTGTAATATGAAACTAGAAAATAGGTAAAATATGTAGAGGGAACGAGAGAACTTTCTTATTTCATCAAGTGTTTCACAAGTATTTTTCCAGTATATACAATATCAGTTTTCATCATTTATTTATAGTATTACATAGATGATAAGCAACCTTCACTTCCAACCAAGAGGTTGTGAGTTCGAGTCTCCCCAAGAGCAAGGAGGGAGGTTTCTTGGAGGGAAGGATGTCGAGGGTCTATTGGAAACAGCCTCTCTACCCCAGGGTAGAGGTAAGGTATGCGTACACACTACCCTCCCTATACCCCACTAAGTGGGATTATACTGGGTTGTTGTTATTATTGTTGTTGTTGTAGTAGTATTACATATAGGTATACAAAAGAATGCCTTAAACATGACATTATGCATTTGAGATCATGAAGGAAGATCATGGGGGAGGTTATAGAAGTATGGGCAGAGGCGGATCTAGGATTTAAACTCTATGAGTTCAATCTTTAAGGTTCTTACTACTGAACTCATTATATCCTTAAAGTTATGGGTTCATAGCTATGACTTATTGTGAATTTAGTAACTTTTTGCATATAAATTTGTACTCTGCGTCGAAAGTTATGGCTGCAATTGAACCCAGTGTTATAGGGCTACATACGCTCTTGAGTATGGGAGTTAATTACAACCATAAGTATTGGAGTAGTGCGAGTTATAGACATAATGAAAAAGAATAGTGGTATTATTCATTTGGTGGTTATGGATATCCACCATAATTTAATATTTTATAACAAGAGTAACATACGGAATTAAATTGGGCATTTGCATCTATACCCGCTTTTCGGGTCACGTTTAACTTGTGCCCGCTTTGCAAAAATAAAAATTGCAAGTGTACCCACTTTTTCACGTAACTTCAGCATACGGGGCTGAAGTAGCAAAGGCAATCACGCAAAACTTCAGCATTCTAGTAGACGGGACTGAAGCAACAAGTGTGCTGAAGTTTTTGTTTGTAATTGTTGAACTTAAGCATAGTAGCTGAAGTTTTGTTCTCTATTTGCTGAAGTTTTTATTTGTAATTGCTGAAGTTTTTGTTTTTGTAATTGGCGAACTTCAGGTCTAGAGCTAAAGTTTTTGTTTTGTAATTGGCGAACTTCAGCTCTAGAGCTAAAGTTTTTGTTTTGTAATTGGCGAACTTCAGCTCTAGAGCTAAAGTTTTTGTTATTGTAACTGGCGTTCAGCTCTAGAGCTAAAGTTTTTGTTTTTGTAACTGGCGAACTTCAGCTCTAGAGCTGAAGTTTTTGTTTTGTAACTGGCGAACTTCAGCTCTAGAGCTGAAGTTTTTGTTTCTAACTGGCGAACTTCAGCTCTAGAGCTGAACTAAAAGGTTTCCAAATTTGGTATTTTGTCAAAATTTCCAAGAAATCTGCCTTATTTTTGGTTCTTTGATCATGCTCAGCATCGGCAAACAAATCTCTCACATTCTTTTTAGTTTCACCAATACATTTACTCATGTCAGTTGACGATCTAGAATTTGAATATCAGTCATTGTTTGAAATTGAATATCGTTTATGACTCAACGTGTCGTTTCTTCTCTTTCTGATAAAAGCTAGTATGACTCCGAGGAAATACCAAATTGATGAACTAAAAGGTTTCTATCTCCACATCCCATGTCAATTACTAGAACATTTTCACAATCAGCGACTTCAGAAAGGAGTGGCCTATCGGATTGAGTGCAGATATAACTTTGAGGAGTAGAAGGATGAGGAGAATGGGGGCTAAAGTTGTTTAAAAAGTGGGTAAAAGTTAAAACTTTTTTAAAAAAAATAGGTACAGATTAAATGGGGATGACCAAATAGGGCACCCCGTACAATTTTTACAATTAAATTAAAGGATTATATTTTATGACTGCAATGCAGACATGAAGTTACTAGCTATTCTATAGGCCCTAGGGTTGGCCCAAAATAGCAAACATTATTTCGGTCTATGTTAGTCCAAATGAATTTTTACACAATTATTCTGTCAGATTTATTGTTATGTATTGGAAAACTACCAGTTATGTCCGTCTATAAATAGCTTATTATAAAAATTATTCAATTCATAAAATATCACTAATATTAGCCAAATGCAATCAATATTGGTCAATTAGCTATTTATAACAATAAAAAAGATCAAATATTTACTTTTTTTTGAGTTGATATTTTTAGAATAGATTGGGTACATCTTAAGCAGTTTGAATCTTAGTTTTGGAATGATTAGGTGGAGTTTTGAGGTGGTTTGCATTGAAAATTCGAAGTAGAAGATGAACATGGAAAAAGATGATATGTGTATGAGACTTTGTATCATTTATGCATCACATATGTATTATATGCGTATCAAATATGTATCACATGTATATCTATGTATACCTCATGTGAGATACATACGTAATACATGTTTGATACATGTGTCGCAGAAGAATGTTTTAAACTCGATTTTAACTACGAATTTTGATATCAAATCAGTTCAAATCACCTCCAATCTTGTTCAAATTTTGTATATTGCCTCATATATTTGTTTTCATCGAATTCCAACGATACTCATTGAAACAAAAACCTTTTTTGCCCTATTTTTTAATATTTTATATATGGGTTGTTGTTGTTGTTTTTAATATTTTATATCATTAGTAATGAATTTTGACTCCAAACTAGTCTAACTCATCGTAAAACTTCGTTAAATTTTGTATATTGCCTCTTCTATATATTTTCAATAAATTGCAACAATACCCATTGAAAAAAAAATTGCTTATATTTTTTAATGGGAAAATGCATAAGTACCCCTCTGACCTATACCCGTATTTCCAACTACACACTTTTTTTTGCGAAAATCTTATTACCCCCTAAACTTATTTTAAATAGAATTATTTGCACCCTTAACGCTGACGTGGAAGAGTGTGTGTGTTTCACTCTCCCAAAGGAGAGTGGGAAGCAAGAAAAAATGATTTTCAGACTATTTTTTCTTACTTTCTTTTTCCTTTTCCTTTTCCTTTTCCTTTTTCTTATTCTTTTTTCTTTTACCTTTTTTCGTTTCTTCTCTAATTCCGGCGGATATTCATTCACCGGCGACTTTGTCTAACCATTTTTCTTCCATTTTTTCTTTCACACACAAATTAAACTCTCAAAAAGATCTATTCATAAGCAAAGCAAAATACACTAAGATTTTGTTTTTGGGGAGGAGGGGAATTCATCATCGAAAAACCTTCCCACACCGGGAAAAAAAATGTATTGAAATTTTAACTGGAAAAAGTTTTCTCAGCTTATATTCGTTTTTATTTCTTTTGCTCTTTCTCCCACACATAAATTACACTTTCAAGAAAAATTATATATATAAAAAACAAAACACACTTAGATCGGGGTAAAATTTTGTTGCGGAAAAAAAAATTCACCGGAAAAAATGGTATTTATGAAATTCCGATGACCACCATTTTATGTCACCGGTGACCAAAACAAAAAGAAAGAGAATGAAATAACCAAAAAAATGAGAATAATAAGAAATAAGAAAAAAGAATAAGAAAAAGAAGAAAGAATAAAAAAAGTACTAAAAATACATGTGGGGGCGCGTGTAGCTTACCACTTGCCAAGAGTTTGGTTGTCAGTGTTAAGGATGCAAATAATTTCATTTAAAATAAGTTTAGGGGGGTAAGAGGATTCCCCCAAAGAAAAAGTGTGTAGTTAGAAATCCGGGTATAGCTCAGGGGGGGTACTTATGCATTTTTTCCTTTTTAATATTGTATATCATTGGTAATTCTTTTGACTATTTTTGGTAGCATAACTAAAATGGCTAGTTGTTTGTAAGTAGTATCTTTCTTTGGTCCATTACCATAAGATTCCATCATTTTTTCTAACCGATATATGTAATTATACGTCGATTATACATAATTATACACACACATCGATAATTATTAGTCCAAGAGGGTGGGCGGCTATTTAAATGAATTCTTCTAGTTAAAACTTGAGACGCGATTAAAAATTTAAACAATGGAATTGTACAAAGTTATACTTAATTACCACTTTTATATAGTTTCTTCTTAATTATATGTCATATCTATATTTACGATTTGTATACAAATCTATAATAACAGAGGACCCCTTTCCCCTTGTCTGCCATCCAATTACTTTCCAACCCACATTTTTCTTCCACTTTTCAACTCAATTTCCTTTATCTTTTTAAGAATCGCCTCTTTTTCCTCCTAAATTAAACAGAATTTCTAGACAAGTTCTGAATAATAAAGCAATAATAGTCATTAAAAATCTTTAAAACATTAAATTTGATAATTGAATTTCATAAAATTATTATATATTTGAATTGAATATTGTTAAAAATGATTAGAAATATTAATTTTGAGTGGATTTGATGAAGATTAACCTCCAAAAAATATTTCCAATAATTAAAGTAGAAAATAAAATATGAGAAGAGGTTCGATGCAATAAAATAAGTACACATTCATAGAGAGAGAGAAAACAAAGACCGCTTGAAAATCATAAAAGGCAAACTTAGGTGGTATTCTCTCATATTTTACACACTTTAGAGTGATATTTGATTCATACTATAATTAGAACTGAAGCAACTTAATTTGTAGGAGTTTAGGGCAAAATTCGTGTCATATTATAATTAGTTTGAATATTACAATTATATCCACCTCTACCTTGCTCTTGATTAATATATTAGTAATATTTTTATCCTTCAATATTTATCAAATACCCTATTTTTTACCCCAAGTTGGAGTGCTTTCTCTCTCGGTAATATATTAGCAGCATATAAATATCTGCTGGTTAACACGAGATGCATGTCGGCCAATCCGAAATTAGTTTTTATGTTTTATTTGCGATAATATTTTCCTTTTCCCTATTGTTAGTAGGAGTAATTTTGCACCTGCTTACATTTGGAGGAATTGCTCATTGGCTGAATTATCACGGATTTTTGGGTAAAAGACCGAAAAGTAAAGTGAAAAAGAAAGCCCTAGCAGAGGTATGTGTAAAATCTGATTTTAATGGTGTTTTATAAAAACAAACTGGCAATACAGTCAAACCTCTTCATAACAATCTCGTTTGTGTTGAAGTTTGGCAAAATGCCAAAGTCCCACATCGGTTGGGAGTTAAGCTTGGGGGGATTTTCCCCCTATAAAAGAAAACAATTGGTATCAGAGCCAAGGTACTGTCTAAGTATGCTCTGTGGTTGCAGCATAGTCTGATCTTCCACATCAGAAAAGATTTATCTTGGTAACTGAGTCAAGGTTCTGTCTGAGTATGCTCTGTGGTTGCAGCTTAGTCTGATCTTC